TTATTTTGTTTTTGAAGTAGTTTTCTTTTTAAAAAAGATCTCTATTGTTAGTGCATAGAGTGGTATGTTGCTTGCACCAATCAGATACCGCATTAGGGTATGTATTTTGCACCAATGAGATCACAGCATAGGGGTACGAGTACCCAAATGAGAGCGTTAGGGTATTGTCGCTCATGTCAATCATGTCATGGAAATAGGGTTTTGCAAAATGTTTCAATGGAATCAACCCGATATTGACGGACACTAAGAATGTCACTGACAAAGAACTGTGGGGTCATTTACCCATTTAAATGGTTCATGTCCTTAGTGAGGACCTCGTCGCTATGATCTGTCGAGATTAGAAAAGTCGGCAGGGAATTTTCTATTGTTAAGGTGATTCCTCAGAAACTTTCCTTAAACGTTCCTTATCTATGTCTGTTTCCAAAAATACAACGAAAAGATAGGTCACGTGGCTTGTTTAAGAGACATAACGGGTCAAACTCACCCATTTATGCCTGTAGACTGCGTGTCTATTAAAAGACCACATAAAAACCTCCATACCGTTATGTTTTGTTTCATGTTCCTTGATATACTCTTTGATAGCCACATCTTTCATCTCAGATGCGCGGATCAGACGCGAGTAATTTTGGCATGTATATTATTATGCCACAAAGTATGCTAGCACAATCCTTAAGGGCCTATTTGGTGTCTTATATTTAGGGTTCCATTGGTATATCCTCAACTTGTTTTTGGAACATCTCATGTGATCGGCTACCGTTTTTGTATCTGTTCAAATATTATCTTTTTCTTTTTTTTTTTTTTTTCGTATTTTAGGTATACTGTCGTCGCCTGGTGGTCTACCTCGAAATCTTCCTTGTTTAATCGCACACTTTGTTGGAAGAGATGCGGACGTAGATGAAATCGAAAAGAAACCGCAGACCTTTCGTATGGTTGTTCTTCTTTCTATCTCAGGAATCCAACAAACAGGCTATTTTCACGTTTGCATCAAATGTTGAAAAGAATGCACAAACCTTGCACAGTATGAGGCTCAAAGTAAACGGCTAAGAATGATGTAAACCCTAACTGTTTCACTCTGTACACAAATAATGCAATGTTAGAAAATGGCTCATTCGTGCGTCGTCCTTTCCTCCGGCTCTTCATCTCGTCCTCGAAGTTTACACTGAAGATATTCTCGGCGTCGTTGCTTGGTCTTGGAAACTGCATACGCTTACAATTAGTAAACGATCTAAACTAAGTATGTGTATTGTCCCATAGACCCCCTTCTGGCTAATTATGAGTTCTAAGAACGGATTTTCGCTCATCATTCGAGCCTCACCTATCAGTCACAGAAGACTGAAGTGGGAATCCGTGTAAGTCATTTGTTAAAGCAAAGGGGTGACCAGTTTGTAACACATATTCGAGTAGACAGTCATTATCGGAAGCTCATAGACATCTGCAGTGAGATTCTTGATCGATTAAGTAGTCGCACTTGGTCGCAAACCGCTAATTTTATGTCTCTTGCGAAGCGTTAACTATCAGAGCAAAATATCCCAACTGTGATTGTACTAGACAATACAGAGAATATTCAAGGTGGGGAATTTGATGAATTCACCGAATGGCTCATGAAATCTGCCCCGAACGTCAAGTCGATAATCACTACTCGAAAAGATGTTGGATTCGTGTCGGCAGAAGTGCGTACGTTTCGTCTCAAACCTTTGGATCCCGACTCGTCTGCTAAACTGCTTCGGAGTCTTATGATGACTTTAGTGAGGAACACTCCGAAGAACTTGCTAAATTATGTGGTGGGATACTCTCCTTCTTTTTACCTGTTAAGACGCACTGAACAATGGTTTTAGTCGCGAGCTGTTAATCCAACCATACAACTTTTTAACGATGTTAATAACACACTGAAAGTATTTTTTGACAATTTTTCCGATGAGGTAAAACGAAATCTTGTCCTTTTTTCTGTTTTCCTATCGGAGTTCTCAGCTCAAGACATTCAGCGTCTTTTTGAAGATTCCGTTTACACTGTGAAACAGTAAAGACCAGGATGATCAGGAATGCTCTTCCTCAGAGGACGCCAATGGAAAGATTAGGATGCATCCCTTGGTCCAAGCCTACTTCCGGACAGAGAAAGAATCTTTAGGCAAGGGTGACCTGTGGCGCGCCACTCAGCGTAAATTTAACCATCATACCTTGGCCTGCTGAGAGTCTAGAGCAAAGAGTTTATTAGCAAAGATTCAGCTTTGGTTGCGATCCATAAGTTTCGACAGCAGAAAGCAAACATCATTGAAGTGCTGAAGAATTCTCTCGAAGACCCCAGCGATTTAGATGACAAACTTGAGAGGAGACGTGGATTAAGCTGGGAGTAAAACTGGAGGAGATCGAGGAATCACCAAAAGACGTCTTGGCGCACCTCATGGAAGAGAAAAAAACCTTTACGAGAGCGTTGAGGGAAAGGCGGCCGATCTGTATAACAAGATGTGGCATAGACTGGCCCACTCTGGAAACGATTACACAAAAGTGTGAAAGAAGCAGCAATACAGACAAGAGAAAGCTGAACTAAAAGCTTGTGACACGCAGACAAAGAGCACCTGCATGGGAACCGACCAGCGTATAGCTGTTTTGCTTAAACGCGTCGACTAACTGAGGGCACACGAGTTGCTCTCTTTTTACAAGGATTAATGACAACTTTTTTTTCCCTTTTCTAGGGAGTTATGAGTTTGCATAAACGGTAAATTTCCTTTAAGAGATGGGAATAAGTTAGACAATAGCGAACACAATAGCAGGAAAATTCATTGTTTCGATGATCCGCCCCCTTCAAGTTGATGAGCAGAACCTCATTCCCTGCGGGAAAATAGCGCGCGTTTCTTTTAACCGTCCTAACCAATGAGACTCGTTGCGCTCATGCTTATTTAAATAATAAACGCAATATGACATACGTAAGATACTTCATCAACTGCAAGTAAATGTCCCGAAAACAATAGGCATTCTGCGTGATGAAATGGAAAATTATTTTTCGAAGTTACCTGTCGTTTCTTTTGATCATAGTTGTTGTCATTCGAAAATATGCGCTCATCAAGTTACATAAGTGTTTCTAAATTAATGAACAATTTATGTTATAGCTGTTGCACATATGATGTGTTTTATCTGTTTACTTCCAAAAAAAAAGAACAAAAAGGTTTCGACAAAAGTATTTCTAGTTCAAATGTTATCATACGGAAGTATATCTAGTAAAGTGCAAATACAAAATTCCAACTAGGTCGCCTTAAGGTTGGCCTTTACTTTGCCACCCTAGATGATGTCATTACCCAAAGCAGCGCCATGAAAATACGTCAACGGTTGCCGTGTTTCTGATTACTAGAACGTGATAGCGCAAGCAACGGCGCATTTGCCCGATAAGCGTTCAAAACTGTAAACCATCCTGGTAAGTTTAATTTAGTTTCCATATAATTTACTACGAGTTCAACTTATGATATACATACGCAGTAGCGAGATTAAAATCAAAGCCGGAAGAGACAACCAGTTTGTGATTTAGAAGTGCGATATTTATAAGCCGCTACGGCCGGCACGAAGGAAGCACAAACTGCTCCGTACGCGTTTTCGTGGCGCTTTTGAACACAAACTTTTGTTTACGTGTCGTATATCAGCCAAGAAGACCCTTAAGTTGTTAGAGAAAACACTCCAGTGCAAGGCGGACTTCCTGATTCACACAACGCTCAATACACATCATATTTACTTCACTACGGGATTATTTCGACTTATTTGTTCAACTAACAAGGATAAATCTAGAAAGCTCCAATAGCTCTTTCACCAATTTGGCGATAAAGATTAGGCAGTTCCATGTCTTTGAAGATTTCTTTCCCTGAATATATTTAGAAAAAGACAGAAATTGCACCACAACTGTTAATGCTTTACAGTCGAACCTCGATTATTAGGACCTCGATTACCCGGATTTCTCGATTATCCGCACTTTTTCTTTGGTCCCAAGTTTCTCATGCATAATTATTAGACATGATCAAGATCCGTAGCCATATTCTTTTTAAAACTACAGCATTGAAAAGGGAAGTAAAGGCGGGTTTGTTTCGCGTTCATGAAGCAAAGGCAGCGCTTGAACGTGTCGTAACTAACGAAGAACATTCGAATGAGGACTGATTGGCTTAGAGTTGCTTTGTTGCTAAGAGAGATGTTTAAGCGTAAGCGATCCGTTCTTTCTCCAATTTTGCTATTAGAGAAAGTACGCGGCAGATATCTGATATACGCAATGAATGCCGAATACCTCTACACGATACACGTGTAGAACTCAGAAAAACTTAACTGTAGATAACTATATATAGCTATATAACTTAAAAGCTCAATCCATCTCCTGCAACAACGTACAATGTTTGCTGTTGACCTTAGGCTGGAAATTTTTACGAGAAAAATAGGCATCTATGTACCTATCCTGATCATTTCCATTTCTTGTCCGCAAAAAGTCCTGTGACAAAAAAAAGAAAAGGAAAAAGAAGAGAGAAAGAAAGGCACTAGAGTGGTTTTAAAAAGAAATAACAAGACTGCGATTGAAACGATAGGCAGCATACGGATAAGAATAAATATCCACACATGGTTATGTAACCCTTGCGTAACTTCACGCAAACTCGTCATAGAGCATAATAGAAATTCCATTTGCTACATGAACTATTGTTTATTTAATATTTGGCAGGTTAAAGTCTCAGCCGTCACAAACTATCTTTATTATGGCTTCTCATCCACTGCCAATATCATTTACCAAAGAAGCAACTAATTATGCACGACTTTGTCGGCTCCTGATTGAAGTGGGCTCCCAGGTATTACGAGAGAAATTCAACGACATCCACGACCCTGCAAATCTCCACATCATACTTCACAGTTGTATGCCTAAACTGAAGTCTCTGAGATCCAGAGGGATCCTTAGCCAAGCACAGTGGGACTCCATGAACCCAGCCATACACAAGATGGCTTCATCTGAGAATTTTGACATCTCTACCTTGTGCGTGCTCTTGATAAACATCTGTAACCTGTCACCTCCAGCAACAAGTTGGAGACGCCCTCCAGCTTCAATGGATCACTCTCTTGGGGCAGACATTTTGAGAATGAGGCATTTCAGAAATTCCCTGTATGCGCATGTCACGAAGGCCTCCATTGATGAAACCAGCTTCAATAGCAATTGGAATGATATTCGAGAAGTGTTACTGAGACTAGGAGGGGCGAAGTATGACGAAGTGATAAGAAAAATGAAAACTGAGTGCATGGATCCTGATGCTGAAGAAGTTTACAAAAGCCTTTTAAAAGAATGGCAAAAACAAGATGATGACATTAGAGATCAAGTCAAATCGATTGACGATAAAACGGAAAAAACCCATGAGTTACTGCTCGATTTAAAAGACCATGTAGTGTCTCTAGGAGGTATCCCAGGTAGGTCTATCAAACTGTGCAACTAGCAGTAATTTCAGTATCGCTTTTATGGCTGTTAGCTTATTTTCACTGGTGATTCCTTTCTGATAGAGAGAGAGCTCAGCTCCAAATCGAGCTTTTATTTATTTATTTTTTTTTAATATCCATGCGATAATTGGGTTCATAGGTCTTTTAAGGTACTAAGTCCCCTTAAAAATTTAGGAAAGAAAACGCTACTGAAGTTGTTTTCCTAGTGCCTCACGTAGCTATCAAGGCGGTCTGTTTTTGCTATATATACATATATATATCAGATTACCCAATCAAGATATATGAACCGAGGCCGAAAATCAGAGAAAGTAACCTTTCCAAATAAATTAGTTTACTTGTCTTGACACAGAAACTCAAATACTGGGGAATATTCTAGTTTTACAGTTGTAGAGTCTCCATAATGATATATTCTAATCCCATTAGATACAGGTGAAAGCCAGTCGCAGCTTTCTATTGAAGAGGAATTAACTGATGACGATTTTGAGAAGCTAAATGTGTTGTGCGGGCTACCTATTCCAGTCAGCCGTCTCGAAACAGCGAAACGCCCGCGGCGCGAGCGGTTTTGCGATGTCACTCATTACTCCGCCTCGAGTGATGAAAATAAGCATATGCTGTCTTCTTTGCTCTATCACATTGGAAGGATGGACCTCAGAAATCGTATACTTGGTGTACAAGGTAAGTATTTAACGTGGAAACTTGTAGATTTTTGAATTAAATGACTTTTACATTGCACAGTATTCATTACAGTGTAAATCAAACAAGAGGTCTTTCCAAAACTTAGAAGGCAGAGTGCAATTTACATGCAAGAAAGTGTTCCAGCCTCCGAGATTACTTACTTCGCCTTACACCACCCAAGTTCAATGAGTGTTGATACAACCTTGATTGATGTGCTATTTATTACATAATTTACTTTATTCCAATTTGAAGGAATGGCTGACATAGCTTCATACCGAGTGATTTCCCCTCGTGAACAAAGCAATCAGTAGGTTTTCAAAGTAAGACCACGTTATATGATTCGAGAGGGCAGTGGTCGTCTCTGGGGGTTTACAAACTCTTATAATTACTATGGTTAACAGAAAAATTTAAAGTAAGGAAAAGTTACCTTTTTTATGCTTATTTTCTCAAGTTAAACCTAAATTTGTATTGAATTTATTAAAAGCTGCTCTCACAAAAGCATTCAAGAACGTGGGTGGTATTCCTTGTGAGGTTCCAAATTTCGTGGGTCGGAAAGGGCAACGCTCCCTCGTAATGGAGAAACTGTCTCCAAGCGATCCTTGTCGAATAGTTTCCATTACAGGACCTCCAGGTTTTGGCAAATCTGCAGTGGCCATACAAGTGGGACGTGAGCTGGTTTCACAGGGAAAGATAGATGTGTTCTATATTACCCTCAAGAGTATGAGGTCATTAAATGGCATGGTAAGCTCCCTCCTGGGAGCTCTTCAAATTTTGACCGGCACAGATCCAATCCAGCAAGTAAAGCACTGTCTTCGCACTCTATCAAATCACACCATCATCATTTTAGACAACGTGGACGACATGTTACTTCCTGAAAAGAAAGATGGATTTTGCAATTTCGTGAAGTCTGTGGCCCAAACTGCTTCTCGTGTTAAGTTCATGATCACATCCCGCCAAGTAATAGACTTTTTATCTGTCAATAAGTTACCAGTCTGCTTGGACTCTCTTTGTCCAGACCACGCCAAAGAGTTGCTTCTGACGCTGGAGTCAAGAGTATCAGAGGAAGATGCGGAACAATTGGTCCATTACTGCGGTGGAGTGCCGTTAGTTCTACGCACCACAGCTGCTATTTTAGCGAAAGGAATTGATGCTAAAGCTCTAATAAGCGAGTTCCAAACAAGCCTGGTGCCAACTCTGAAATCATTCAAGTCGAGTCTTCCAACATTGTCCCATGATCATCAGCTTTTTCACTGCCTCGAAATCTGTTTTAGTCGTTTACAACCTGACCAACAAACTGCCCTTGTATCTTTGGCAGTCTTCCCAAGAGCATTCAGCGCAGCTGAAGCCCAGTTTCTGTTTAGCCACCTCTCTCAGTACAGACTTGGAATGTTGCTACAAGGGCTAGTAGATCAGTCCATGCTCCAGTTTAATTTCATGTCAAAAGAGTACCACGTCCACAATATCATTCAGTCATTTTGTGTTGATCGTGCAGTCCAAGAAGATATGAAACCACAGTACCATTCAGCCAGAAAATTATTCAACGTTCGGTATTTGGAAATGTTACAGGACCTATACGCTGTTTTCTTGTCCCACAATTGCTGCGATGCCGTCCAAAAGTTCTTCAACAATCGATTCAATATCAAGAAGGCCTTGAAAGATTCCCTATCTTTCTCCGATTTGGAGAAAAAGTGCATCGATACGGCAGTCGAAGTTACTCCTTTCTTGGCCAAGGTGTTCAAAAAAGCTAAATTCCTTAGAGTATACAGTAAATTTACAAATGCCTGCATTGCAAATGAAGATAAGAAGAGACGAGGTGACTGTTTGACAGCAGAGGCCTACGGCATCCTTTCCCATTGTGCATGTCACCTTCCGTGTCCATCGGCTGTGTCCAAATTCAAAGAGGCTGATAAGATCCAAAAGGAACTTGGCGATGACTCATCTATCATTCGTGCCTTTTGCCTGAGTAAACTTGGCCGCTGTTTCGGCCAGCACAGAGACTTGGATCAAGCCATTCTACTGATAAAGAAGTCCATTGAGATCGGTGAGAAGAAGAACAACAGGATTTTTACCGCAGCAGCTTATAAAGACCTGGGAGGTAAAATCTTGCATTATGTCTCTTTGAAAGGGTGCACTGAGTAATCGGACCACATAAACAATATTTTAATTTCAGCCCTTATACACAAGGCGCTCCTCTTTCCAGAAAAATCTCCCCAGGACTTAAGTGACTCAAAAGCGCCGTTGTTTCTCCGGCTCGAATCACAGCCAAACATGGATTAGTTGTCTCCTGGCATGATTTTTCTTTTCACACATAGAGTGCAGAACCGTTCAACTGACGAAAAACTCGAAAACGTCCCTTAACCCATGGTATGCTTGGCGCCATATTGAATTATTCTCGCACAGTCACGTGCAGAGTCGCGTGACCAAGCGAGAATCAGTCTTCTGAAATTCACTAGCTTTCCCCAGCAGTCCCCTCTAATAATTCTGCTTTGAGGTACCTACACACAGGTTTTTTTTCGGTGAGCGGCATAAATGGAGCGCGAACAACTACATGATATCCTCAAGACTGTTTACAAGTACTGAAACGATTTTTTAGCTCTTCAATACCGGAACATGGGCAAATCTTATTCATACGAGTAGGGTTTCCTTTTATCAAAGTCAGTTTAATATTTTTATTTACTACCGAAGAGAACATCCAAAACTGAAGTAAAGCATCCTCAAAAGCAAATTTTGTTTAAATGTAAAATATTTCCCATGACTGATATGATTAATGATGGCTGTTGTTTACTCATGAGACAACTGATTAATCTAAGCCTTCTGCGGCTCTCTTATTTGTAGCTGCATATGCGTTTTGTGGAGATCATCAAGAGGCCAATAAAATCAGGGAGGAGTACTCACTTCCAGTGTATCTAGAGTTCCTTGGAGACCATCCTTTCACAGCTACTTTGATGGACGACTTGGGAACATCGTATCAAGCTCTTGAAAACTATGGCAGTGCGATAGAGTTTCTGAGTAAAGCGCTGCACATAAGAAAACACTCTCTGGGTAATCATCAAGTAACAGCAAGGTCTTTCTATGACTTTGGAAAGGTAAACATATATATCTGTAAGGGTTCTTTAAAATTTTATCCCATTCTCAGAATTCTCCTCGTTGATTGAACCTTTACAGCAACTTCAAGGATGCAAGTATCTGGATTTCTAAGCTTCAAAATCACGATTCTTTATCACTCCACCGATATTTATCCGTTTCAGCTTGGTGTTTTAAGGCCCCTTAAACGCTATTGTTAGTTACCGATTCAGCAGAATTTTAATCATTAGCTGTTCAATCAACAGGCTTTAGCCATGAAAGAAGACCTGGATGAAGCTCTCGAAGCTCTTAGAAGTGCCCTTGCTATCCAAGACGAAGTGTTAGGAAACCACCAGGAGACAGAACGTTCACACAGGGAGATAGCTCACGTTCTAAAAAAGCTTGGGCGACATGAAGAAGCCAACAGAGAGGATGTACTGGCCCAACAGGTGTCCATGTCTGTTTCTGAACCCTAGCCCGAGTCCTGATTATACTTTTAGTATCCTTTGAAACTGTTTATATACAAGTAACGGCCATAATAATTCTGTAAGGAAATTAATTCGTTAAACTTAGTGCTATTCTTAACCATTAGCTTCAATATAGATCTTAAGTTATACTTTCGCATCGGTTGACCTCTTAAACATAACGGTGGCTTCCAGAGGAGCCTTTTGTACCTTTTCACTCAGTGAGTAGAGCAATGAGCGCGACGTTGTTAAGGGAAAAATTGTTCGTATTCGCAGTACATTTTTAAAAGCTGGCGTTTGTGACTTCATCTTCGGTCCTCGTCCCGTGGTTTAGGATAAGGCTTTAAGGGAGAAGAAAAAGAAAGAAGATTTTGTTCGCTGTAAGACAAAGTTGAGTAATATCCTACTGAGTCAATTTTCCCAAAAAGTTGGAAACAGGGAAGCTTTTTGAAGTACGCCAGAAGCAACAGTTTTGTATAGCAATTCTTGGGACTCTTGGTGATGTTGTACAGTTACAAAAGTTAAATTTTATTCACTAAAATGTTGGCGTGTTTGAGAGAGATTGAGTAAAATAGAGAGAGATTGGGGGGAGAAAATGAAAATTTTTCATTACGGTGTCGAAAGTAATCGCTGAAATTAGGCATTGTTTCTGATTTCCTTCGCTCTCTGATTGGTCTAAAAATCTCGCATCAACTCTAATCTCAGACCTAGTACTAATCACGTTTTCTATCGCATCAGCAGTTTGCTTGTCATCACTTCAAACTCTTACTGGCTCCATGTGAGATTTACCTTCATGC